AAAAAAAAAAAAAAATTCATCATGGTAAAATTAATACCTTCTCAGCTTCGCATCGAAGCTAAAATACAATTTTTGTAAAAAAAATCTATTTTATATTTTTAACTTTATAATGCTATAACTTTTTGAAAAATGTATGAATCATTAAAGTTTTTTTAAAATAAGTACTATTTATATTATTATTTTATGCGACAAACTTTTTTTAAATAAAACCATTTTCCTTTATATATATATTCATATATTACACTTATAAATCATATAACTTGTAATTAGGATATAAATGAGTAAATAGGAGATCATGTAGCTTTTGGAATAATTCACCATTTTTTTTAAATTAAACACTATCTACAGATTTACATCGAAGCGTTTCTTATGATAATGATTTTAATCACTGTCAGATATCATCTAAACTTGACCCAACTATACCACATTCATACTGTGACACGACCCCACTGTGATAACGTTTTTTAAAATAATTTTTACGGTTTCGGACTTTATTAATGTATTAAAAACAACTTAAGGATAAATTCTTAATGAATTACAAGAAATTTAATAAATATAATGAGTATGAAGGGTGAATAAAATGATAAATGTCCACTCTATGTATTAAAATTCTTGTAACTCATTAAATATTTACTCTAAAGTGGTTATCAACCCATTAATTTTTTTTAAAAAAAGGTTAAAGAAAGACTAAAAAAAATCACTGTATTTATTAATCATACATTTTAACAAATTAATTATTATTCAAGATTATATAAACATTATTTCATCTATTTATGTATAGATATAAAAACAACTTTGCTCAAACAATATCAAAATCGATATACATTGATGGAAAAAATCTACAATATTTCAGAAGATGATATTGTAGGATTAAAAGAAAACACTTTAATAAATCGGCGTCTGAAACCCAAAGATAATGAAAATTGTGTTATTTATGAATATTCAATAGATAAATAAACTGAATCAATAATTATATTACTAAATTTTGTCATATTAAATTATTTTTGTCAATCCTTAAAATGATCTATTTATTGAAACCTTATAATTATAAATTGAAAAAAGAGTTATACTATGGACGATAGTTGTGCACCGTACTAGATTTTATCTTAAGCCTGCTTTCACTCACTACTGGAATGGATGAGAGGAGACACATCCAATAATTGTACGACTAATTAATAATTCGTAGACATTAATTAAATAAATAGTAGAAGAGTGTCCTTATTACTAAAAGCGAAGCGGCTGTGAATATAACAGTAAATATATAAAACAAGATAAACAATTAATAATTAGCTGTAAAAAGTAAAATGGATGAATGGTGAATAATGAAAGTGAGAAGTGAACTGTATGTATGTAATGAAATGCTGAATATGTGAACGAATTGGTGACTAAAGGGTAGTCACTTAAGAACTAAATGCTTCAGTAACAAACAAGGCCGATAACTAAAAGAGTGCATAGGTACTAGAACTCGAGAGAGAATAATATAGTCTATTATATTTATAGCTGTAAGTAAAAATTTTTATTTAATACAGTAGAACTCCAATTATCCGAACTCCGATCATCCGAATCGCCGATTATCCGAATCACTTTCAGAAAAAATCAGAAAAAAATTTGTCCAAAGTCCGCGGCGTCAGTGTAGGCACAACACGTGGTAAGAGTTCCCACTCCAGTTCCGGCGCATTGCAGTCACCTGTCATTGTTTATTTTGATTAGTCAGTGAATGGGTCCCGGTCCCCATTAATTCGGATAATTGGAGTTCTACTGTATTGTAATATTTGGATTAATATTTAATCAACTATGTTTACAATTATTGTAAGACGTGAGAGACGGTCAGGATACAATTATTAAAATATCTAACCATTTAAATCGTTGTCAGCGCAAACAAGCAAAAAAATTAATTACGCGTTTTAAACATTTATTTACATCAGATCCACTTAAAATAAGCTGTGCTAATGTTGAACCATGCGAAATAAGGTTTAATTCGGACAAACCAATTTTTCAACCGCCATATCGTGTGTACCCTTCTCAACGAGAAAGATTAAAAACTCTAATTGATGAAATGATAAAATCTAATATTATTGAGCCGAGTAGAAGTAATTACGCGGCGGCAGTATTTTTAACACCGATGTACGACAGTCTATACTATCATGTCTCATTTTATTGTACTTTAACTGTATTCTTGTTTTACATATTTCACCTTATTTTAATTATATATTTTATTTATTACGTTTGCGTCATTTTTGAACTATTTTCCCTCTATTATTATAAATAAAGGTATAAAAAATTTCTGTTTAAAACACGACTGAGTTTCTATTACTTATGGGCATTTCCGAATATTTTAAACTGTCGAATAACTATTCGAATTGTTTTTATACAACCGAATAGTTTATTTTTAGCATAAACTATTTGAATAGACTACCGAATGGTTTTAAAAATTATTCGATTAGTTCTACCTAAAATTTTTATTAAGTACGCTTTATTATAATAAAAAGATAATTAACGAATACTTAAAATAAATTATTATACAATTAATAATAGTAAAAAATAGTTGTTCAGGTGAACGCTTAAGTTAGGTTTGGTACTGATAGTTGGTGATAACTCTCCACTCATTGGACGCTTAGCCGTTGCGTTTTATATTTTTTCGTTTTCATTCTCTTGTTGTACGTCGCCTTACGACTTTTTTTTATTTATACATTTTTTTCCTCTCGTTCTCGTTGTCTCTCGAGCACTGTGTACCTTAACCTTAATTTTTTAACCATTTATATTGTAAAATTGAAAGTTTTAATTTATTTAACTTATTATTGTTACTTATAAACCTCATGGTTTGCATATTAGCTTAAATTAACCTATAGTGCATAGTTTTTATTTTGCATTTTAACTTGGGATAACTTAATTCTATGTTTGTTTGTAAGAACAAAATTATTTATTTGACCATTCTCGTGAAATTGTAAATTTGTAATCCACTTGGTTCATTTTGGATAAAATTGACAACTTTATCCAATCTAATATTGTATTTTGTCTCTTTTAGTAGTAGCTCAATATTTACTTTATAATAGTGTGGCTTTTGAATTTAATATATGCTCATTGTCGTCACACATGATTGTAAAATTACTCATGTTGTTTTACACAGCAAATCTAGTTCATAAGACCATTTGATTGCAAAATACTTAAATAATTGAGTCGATTAAAAAGCCTCAATTTTGTATCTTAGTTGACTGTCATATTGTTTTGTTAATTCTTTCTTAGTCATATATTGCTACACTTTAAATTAATCGACCACTTGATCTCTGTGATGTTAATATAAATTAGTTTTCTCCTTGTCTTTAAACTTAGGAATTTTTTTTCATTAGTCACTTATAGTCTCATATTTAGTTTATTACTTTATTTTATTTTAAAAGTAATTTTATTTGAATAATCGTACTTCATTTCCCTCTTATAATACTTGTTAACTTTATTCAACTTCTGTACTCTCTTTGCACAAAAAAATAGTTATTCTATTCAGCTTTTATTGCAATTGTACTTATATAATTCAACATGTGTTCATATTAATTAGTTTGCTTATAAAAATAAATTTACTTTGTTATTTTTAAATTATCTCTTTACTTAACTTCTACCTGAATCTCACTCTCCCTATATTGTACAGTCCACTCTTACAGACAATATCTAATAAGTCAATATCTAAACCCAACCCAACCCAACGTTATTTAATAGATAACAAGATACACAATCTTTAGTTTTACTTGCATGGTACTTTGAAATAATTATTTTCTTTCAGCTTATTTGTTTCTAGTCCTTCCACTTCTTTCACTACTTGTACACTCCTCTTCAAACAAAATCATATACAAAAATTTTAGAATCAAATGGTCGACCGGCTTTTCTCTTGTCGCCTATGCTTGGGTAGGTTCTTAACATTATTGAATCCTTGTCCTTACAATAGTGATGAGCATTTTCATATATATTAAACTATTCGAATAGACTATCAAATATTTTTTGAATGACTATCGAATAATTCGATAATTAATATTCGATATTTCCCATCACTAGTTTCTATACTTGACGTTCTTGGTAATAACTGTCGTAATATGCCCAATGCTTTGCATTACACTATAAAAAACACTGAAATCTTTTCAGAACTCGGTTCGCTTTTCACCGAATTCAAATAAGAAAAGAATTATTGGCTACGACTCCGTGTTGTTGTCGGCTATCTTTTTATGCGTCTTGCTTACATACATATGAAAATAATTTATTTTGACTTATTATTTTGTGACGAGGTACGAATTTGATACCTCTATATATCAGAAGGTTTGTCGAATTTTCTTTAGATTTACAATTCATTGTTGCAATTTACGAAGTAAGTAAAATTTATATTATCCCAATTATAGAGTTAATATATTTGAATATAGAACGATGAAACAATAGATCATTCATTATATTAACATTGTAGGATATTATATTAGACTTGTTGGTTAAGGTCTTATACATAATCATGTTACATGGTAACTGTGAACTGGTTTGTCGTTCCGCTGCCTTAACGAAGTTTTAATAACCTAACATGATTTCTACTGTATAAGTTAAGCACTTCAATAGGTATTCGTGAACTGGCTTGCCGTTCCGTGCATATTATTAGGTACCAATCAGACTATACATTATTACACCTCTACATAGAGGTATTGCGTCTATTATATTTATATCTACAACCCCGATAGTACCTCGTTGATCACGATTTGACCAAATCCCCAAATATCCAATCTTGATCAAAATACTCATACATTCTTATAATCACAAACATTAAACAATTTTTATCATTTTATTTTGTTATTTTAAATTATAACAAAGTGACGCTCGACAACAAGCTTGTTAAATTTTACTAAGGGTTTTTTTTAAAGTACTCAGAAAAAATATTTGAATTTTTTTGGTCTTTATCTGAAAAATACTGATTGAAAATTATTTCTTGTTTATATATATATATATATAAAAAGTGAATTAAAATAAACTTTAAAAATTAAATTTTTTTTTTGTATTTATTTATTAGCTTTTATTATGAAAATATTATAGCTCGACAATTACATAATATAGTATTAATTAGCTTTGTGAATTACAAGAATAATTGGTGTTAATTAGTATAACAAAAGTAAAGTATATATAATAAATTATAATATATAATAAAGTAGTCAAATAGTACAACCAGCGCTCAATGTAAAAGAAATGATCGCAGTAATTACGAGAATAGAATGGAAATTTAGTACAACAGAGGGAACAAAATTGGAAATTCCATCGGATTCTAAAAATTGTATAAGTAGCCACCTATTAAACGCCAAGAAGGAGCAATTCAATAAATAATGAGGAAAATTTCCGAGGACTTCATCCTCATGTAAATGGCAAAAGGGAACAGAGTTCAAGTTTAATTTGTAAGCGAATGCTGGTAAAACGTAATGACCCAGTCTGAGTTACGAAAAAATGATACTGCGAGTAAGATATAGTTGAACCACGGAATTTTAGAAGGGTTAGGTATGATGGACCGATGCCATCGGGCAAAGCTATTAGGGAGAGAAGTCAACTTAGTGAGCCATGCTTCCATCAGAGAAGATCTAAAGTAATACAGAGTATCAGAATAAGGAAGGATAACATAGGAATGATGATGCAAATTTAGCCAAAGAATCAGCGAACTCGTTACTGTGGATCCCAACATGGCTGGGGACCTACTAAGAAAATAACTGATTAAGAATTTTTGAACCAGTACTATAGAAGTTATTTATATTTTTAAATATTGAGTAGAGAATGTGCACGATATGTAGGTGATATTCATAGTCAGTGTTAAAATATCTTTATTGTCAGTATTAAAAGGCTCATTAACCAATTCTATTGATGCCAGCTTCTCTAGATACTGAAATCGCCTGAAACCACAACTAAAAACTTAGTAAAATCAATCAAAAATTCAATTATACTTTCAAAATCGAGCTATTTTACAGAATGATCGGCTAACTAT